ACCCCGAACCCCAAACCCCTAAACCCCAAACCCCTAAACCCTGAACCCTAAACCCCTGGAGATCCCTTATAGAACCCCCTATAGATCCCTTTAAAGGAACCCTAACCCCAAACCTAGCCGGTGCGCCGAGGAGTGGGAGAAAGCCTTTGATGTGTTCGCGGCATCTTGGCGGAAGACGTGCAGTTGTGCTGAAACGTTCCTTTGAGAGGGGCTTTTAGGGTTCCTTGAAGGATTCCTGATAAGGGTTCTATAGGCATCTTCCCTAGAATGGCTCCTTTTGACGGTGTTACAAGGAATCTTCCCTAGAATGGTTCCTTATCAAGTTTCTATATTGGGATCTTCCAAGCTTCACGGCTTCAGGGTTTAGGGGTCTTAGATATGGGTCGAAGAACGGGTCTGTAAGAGGTAGTATGCAATATGGCCTAGTAGTAGAGCCTTTTTGGGCGATTATAATCCCTTTCTAGTCCCAATATACTCCCAAAGGTTAACCTTCAAAGAAGCGATACGGCTGATGGACAAAATCCTGCATTTCCCCAAGGACCCTAAACTATGGGAATTATGGTATATTCCTTCTTATGTATGGGTACTGCAGGATTCTGTCCATCAGCCGTATTATTTACTGTTGATCCCTATTATTGTAACTTAAAGGTAAAGTCTTTAACCAGACCCCAAGATGAGGGTGTTAGGGCTCCGGGTTTTGGCTCTTGCGTGCCTTCAAGACCCACTGACCCACAAAAGTCGGGGGGGCCTTGTGCTGTTCTACTATGAAACAGTTTATGAAGCAAATTTATGATCCTAAAGCTTAGACCCTAAATCGGATATGATACTAGATACTATGAAACATCATATGATTCTAGACCATAAACCTTAAACCGAACATCATATCTGAATTTCTTGGACCCTAAACCGAATATGACAAGCGAACCTTAGTTTCGTCCTAAACCCTAAACCCTAAACCCTAAACCCTGTGGTGTTTTTTGCTTGAGGTGTTCGGAGCTTAGGAAGGGCAGGCTTTAGGGGTGCACGGCTGTGGGGTTTAAGGTTTGAGGGTCTGGAAGTTTTGGGTTTAAGTTGGTAGTTGGGGTTGAAACTTCCCTAAACCCTAAACCCTAAACCCAAAGCCCAAAACCCTAAACCCTAAACGCTTCCATACAGCCAGTCCGCTACCAAGAGAATGTTCAACAGTCCCCTGCAGCCCGCCCCCCGAAATCATACACCGACTCCTCCACGGTACCTGAATCTGCGTCTTTGGCCACAGTCGCTTTGCAGGGCATGCGCCCGGACGCCACGCTTCCCAACACGGTCAGCTACAATGCTACCATCACCGCCTGCGCCGAGGACCTCCTGGGGGCAAAAGTGACAGCCCGAAAACCCCTTAATTCAGGAATACAGTGCAGCTACAATGTTTGAGCTTTCAGCCCCTTTCAATTTAAGGCATATATACCTTAATCCCGTGGTATTGGGCTCTCTGGGTAAAGTGATGCGGAGTGCCAACCCTAAACCCTAAAAGCCTTATTGGGCTGGAGAGGATCTTATGTAGTACTTGGAGGTTCATGGGTAGGTATAAGTGGGGTTATAAGTCCCCTAATAACGGTTATAAGTATAGTTGCCCTGCTTATAACTCCACTTATAACTACCCATGAACCTCCAAGTAGACCCATAAACAATAATACCCTTATAGAATCCCTATAGATCCCTTTAAAGTGACCCTTAAAAGGAACCCTTTTAATGTCGCGAGGCTGGGGAGCTTTGGCGGGAGGCTTTGGACCAGTTCTCCGCAATGAGGACGGTGGAGGCTGTTGATGGCTTTAGGGTTCAGGGGTTTAGGCTTGAGGGCTTTAGGTTAGAGGGTTGAGGGCTTTAGGGTAGAGAGCGTTGAGGGCTTCAGGGTACGGGGCTGAGAGCTTTGGCGTCTAGGGTTGAGGGCTTTAGGGTACGGGGCTGAGAGCTTTGGCGTCTAGGGTTGAGGGCTTTAGGGTACGGGGCTGAGAGCTTTGGCGTCTAGGGTTGAGGGCTTTAGGGTTTAGGGTTTAGGGTGTTCTGACGATGTCCAATGTAGGCTCTTTAAGGGCCTCCGTCGAGAGCCCTGCATAAGTTCTTCAAGGGTTCTGGAAGGACTCAGCGGGGCTGTTGGCTTCAGGACCCTAGGTTTAGGATAGTAGTTATGTAGGTTACTATAGGGGGGGGTATATGATAATTAATCAGTACTTGAACCTTTAGGGGGAGTTAGTTAGGGTCTGCAGGGGATTTGGATTTGGGGGCTTGGGGTTGGGGAGCTGGGCCTTTGTTACTAGGATGCCCAGTAGTACCCTTATTCCCGTTTTGTAGTCCTAGGGTTCTTGTAAAGTTACCCAATACCAAAACGGAGACCTCTTTATTCCTGGGTTGCTGGGCCTTCTTTAAAGGACCCCTTTAAAGGAACCCCTAGGTTAGGGCTTTGGTTTCCGTCCTTGAGGGCTACTGTTGTTTTGGAAAGCTTTCTCGGCTTTGTCAGGTTCGACCCGCACCAGCAAATGATGCCAGGGTTTAGGGTTTAGGTTTAGGAACAAGTTCTAAGGCCAGCTCGAATAAGGATTGATATGGTGTGTTATCGTGGTTGCTCAGGTCGTATGTTTTTTAAATCAAAGCACCTACATCAGACACCCTACAAGCCCCCGACCCCAAACCATCCTAAACCCTAAACCCCAGACCCTAAATCCTGAAGCCTAACATCCTAAACCCTGAATCCCTAAATCCTAAAACCCCTAAACCCGAGCACGCGTAAAAAGGAGTTCAAAAAAAAACTAAACCCCTAAAGCCCCAGAGAAGGTGAAAGCAGACGCGATCAGCTTCAATGCGGCGATGTGCAACTTGGGGAGAGCCGGCTGCTGGCAAGATGCTCTTCAGGTGCCTAGGGACCTTCTTAGTAGTTTAGGATTCCACTAGGGTCCTTCTTGGTAGTTTGGGTTTCGGGTGTAGGTTAGGGGTTTAGAGATTTGGAGTTTAGGGGTTTAGGGTGCCTAGAGACCCCTCTTAGTAGTCGGTTTCGTTCTAGGGTGGTTGAGGTTATTGGGTTTATGACTCCGATTTCTTGTTTTGACTATGGATGCTTGGGGGGAAGGTTGGGTGGTTGCGATGTTGGTTGTTTGGGGTTTAGCAGGGCTTGGCTTTAAGCCAGTATTGAGTCTTGGCTGTTTTTTTGACTTCCCCTAAGGGTCCAAGGGCCTGGATAATCAGGTACTTGGGTTCAGGATCATGGAGTGTTATGTACTTACAGTAGAAGCCAGAAAGTTGGAACATCATTGGCCTCATGCCCTTAAGGTAAAGTATAAGGGATCCTAGCACTAATCCTCCTAAAGTCATGTTCCAACTTTCTGGCTTCTACTATAGACCCTTAGGGTTCAGTTTTTCTCACTTAACGGCTCCAAGATTTACAGCTGCTTTAGTCCCCGAGCGATCTAGGGCTAAGGATGTAGGACTTTGGTTGTGTTTGTCCTTCCTTTCATATGGGTAGTTGTCAAAATTGGGGTCCCTTTTTGGGTACCCTACATAATAGGTGCCGTATTATAATAGGGACCCAAAAAGGGACCATAATTTTGACAACTACCCATATGCGGTCAGTGTCTGAGGTGTGTTCCTGCATGCCCGCCGTTCGACTCTCCGTTGACGAAATAAGTTGCAATGCGAGCATCAGTGCCTGTGACAGCGAGGGACGGTGGCAAGTCTCCCTGTCGCTGCTCTCATCCATGCCTGCGATTCGCCTGGTATGCAATGAGATCAGCTCCGGCCTTAGTCAGGGTTTAGGGTTTAGGGTAGTCACTTTAAGCGTTTCATAAGGGAAACGTAAGGCAAAGTGAGACATAAGACCCTCATACACATGATGCAGCCTACTTTTGCATAGTCGTCACTGGGCACTGAGGCTGCGGTTCTGCCCTGAGTTCTCTTGCATCGGCTGGCGAGTGGCAGCGTGCTCTGCAGTTGCTCTTCGACATGGAGGCCATGAAAATCCACCCCTCAAGTCTAGGTTTTAGGGGTTTTAGAGTTTAGCGGGTCCCGGAACCCCCAAAACTCACAAACTTGAACCCTGCCGTAAAGCCTAGACCCCTAAAGCCCGACAAAAACCCTAAACCCTAAATCCCCCAAAACCCCAACCCAAAACCCTAAACCCCTAAACCCCCAAAGCCCAACAAAAACCCTAAACCCAAGACCCTATTGGACATAGAGGCCATGGAGATTCCCCCGAGCCTGGTGGCCTACAACTCCAGCATCTGGGTTCTTTCCGTGAGAACTCCTATTCCCAAAGGGTCCAAGTGCCCAAGTAGTAGGGTTTTAGGCCCCAAAATCCATAATGTGAATAGTGTTTGGACCTTGAAAGCCTACTATTTGGGCACTTTGACCCTAAGGGATTGTTTGATAGGGTTCCTCTAAGGGTTCTGTGGAGGTTTCGGTTTCGGGGTTTTACGATTCTAGGGCTCACGGTTAAGATTTTGCCTATCCGGGTTTGAATCGCGATTTTACTATCATCGTATCTTGAACTACACCTTAACAAAAGCCGTAAATCCTTTAAGAACCCTTCAAAGCTTTCATACAGGATTATACAGGGGGCGTAACATACCATGAAACAACAGTCTATAGCAAGAAGCTGCAGAATCCATACTCTTCTTAAAGCTAAACCCACAACTCTGAACACCCGAAAACACCCAAAGGCCTAAAACCTCATTGATAGATCCCTTCCAAGAGCCCAAAAAACGCAGCCGAAGAGCCCTTGAGCTAAACGGCAACCCCTTATAGCAAGCCTACAGCATGGTTGGGCACTTGGAACCTGAAAATTATCTTAGATAGCCAGTGGGGGAACTTTAAACTTTCTGGCCTTATATATTTGGTCTATCTTAGAAAGTTTAAACTTTTTTGGGCCCGGTTATTGAAGGAGAGAGTTACCCAGGCATCCACGCTTGCGAGAGGCAGGGGGCCTGGCTGCTGGCGCTTTGGCTCTTGGAAGATGTCGCTTTCGCCAGGCCAGGGTCCCCCCCCGGCTTCCTTTTTGGGTGGTTGTCCAAATTTAGGGTTCCTTTTTGGGTACCTTGAATAAGAGGTGCCGTACGATAATAGCGACCCCAAAAGGGACCATAATTTTGACAACCTCCCATACATAAGGATTCTTATATTTTGCGTGTCTAACAACCGACGATCTTATGAAAGTGCTTTCCATCATGAAGGGTTGAGGTTTCGGGTTTTGGGGGATGGGGTTTTCTCATGTAATCTTCTCATGTAGTCCCGTGATGACACAGAAAATCTTCCTTCTCTAAATAGCACCTGATTTCGATCTTCGTGATCCTTGTTATGGGAGAGGGTTCTATTTGCAGGGATCTACAGTCAGGCTCTGCAAAAGGACCCAATAACTGGGCACACGGGTTTGGAACGTAGGAACGTAGGTTTGATTTTGGGACACTTGGACGCGCAGGCGTTGTGGGACTTTATGGTGGGTTTCATGTTGCTTCAGAGAGTTTCAGGGAGGTTTATGGGACGTTTTCCTATATGGTTTGATATGCTTTGCAGGGAACCATGGGGTTTGATAAAGCTGGCGTTTATGCCTGTCTCACAAGGATACGAAGTTTTGCACATAAAATATAGAGGCCCATAGGTAACGTCAACACGGTTCATCGGGGCTCCTTCTTCAATCAAAAGCCAAATCCCTCAATTCCTTTCCCGTTCAATTCATCAAGACCCATACAATGTTGAGAGATATAAAAATTGCGATGGGATTGTCAAGCGTTCTTTGGGTTGGGCGTGGGCGCAGAGATTTTAGGGTTTGTGGCTAACCCGCCACCCAGGCTCTCGCCGGATGTTGTCACGTACAATGGCGCCATCAGCGCTTGCGAGAAGGGTGGAGCTTGGCCTCATTCATTGGGACTTCTCGCAGACATCGCCAGGATAACTTGGCTCAACCTACTTCCGGTGAGGGTTAGGGGGTTCAGGGTTTGGTTTGGTGTTTGTGTCCCGTGAAGCCGTCAAACCCTCAAGTCCCAAATCGCCAAGGCCCTCAGACGAGCTAAGCCCTACATAGGCCCTAAATGCCTCCAACCGGTACCCTAAACCCGTAACCCAGGGACTCCAAAATCCCTTATAATTAAGGAATATTCCATAAATCATATTAGGGATCCTAGGAGTCTCTGGGAACCCGTAAACCCTAAACCCGAGCATCTTAAGCCCTGGAGGATCAGTCATCAACCAACTGTTGTCAGCTTCAGCGCTGCCATCTCTGCTTGTGAGGACATGGTCGAAACACCCCACATACGCAGGCTTTCTACTAGGAGGTACGTGGGTAGAGTTTTTAGGGGAGTTATAAGTAGGGTAACAATAAGTCTAAGCAATACTAGGGGACTTATGACTCCACTTATAACTACCCATGACCCTCCAAGTAGGTAAGCCGCTTGGACGTTGTCTTGATCTTCCCCGGTTGTTAACAGGATGTTGAACCCTAAACCCATTCAAAAGCGTGCATCAGAGGCGTTTTGGAGCCCACGCAGCTTTACGGGCTTCGAGCTGGGACTGCCGGTCCAATTTCACCCCCTGTTGGCCATATAATTTTGTAGCATACTGGACCCCATGGCACCATTGTAGAAATTGACGCCTGTGTCTGAAAACCTTAAGCCCTAGACCCTTATAAATCCCATAGAACCCGTACAGGACCCATGTTGGACCCTTACGGAACCCTTAAACCTAAACCCTACGATCCCCAATATTATGCCGTCCTTGGTCGTAAACACTAGAACTAGGATGCCCAGTACTACCCTTATTCCCTTTTTGTACTTATAAAGTTACCCAATAGCAAACAGTAGTTTTTTTTTATTCCTGGTTACTGGGCCTCCTAGAACCATAATCCGGAAACCCTCAGTGTGTGTTAGAAGCTGCCCCCACCCTGTAATAGTGGTATAATAGGAATATAGTAGGGCCCTAAAATAATCAATATTGTATAGTCACTAAACCCTAAACCCTAAACCCTAAACCCTATTATAGGGTGGGGGCAGCTTCTAAAGTGTGTGGTTCTTGGTGGCCCCTGCAGGAAGCAGCGAACTGGACGTTGGCGGTCCAACTGTTACGGGAGACCTGGCTCATTAAGGAGCTATACCTGAACCTGCCAAACCTACTTTTTTGTAGAGTCCCTATAAATTCCACATTCGTGCTTATCATAAGAACCTGCCAGAAAGTCGGCTATAGTAGCTCAAGGTTGGTTAGACTTCAGGGGTTCAAGGTCATTTAGGGTTCACGGTGAAGGGGCCCTGTAGAGGTTTCAAGGGTTTTGCGAGGGTTTAAGGGTCAGGGTTTGGGGTTCCAGGGCGCGGGGTCTTAGTTGTTTTTTTGTTTTGAGGGGGGGGGGGGGGGGGGGGGGGGGATTAAGGGTTTAGGTAAAGGGGGCTTCCATACCCTATACCACGGATTGGAATACTTGTTTGGGTAACTTATTACCCTAATTAAGGGTCCAAGTACCTGATTATCATATACTCCCCAAAATAGTAACCTACATAACTACTATCCTAAACCCGAGTGCCTAGGGTTATATTGGCTTGGACTGAAGATCCGATCCGAAGAAATTGAGAGGGACAGACAAATGTGGCACATGTTAGGGTCTGCTTGGCGGTTCATGGGTAGTTATAAGTGGAGCTATATGTAAGGTAGCTATGACGATAACCCATAATAGGGGACTTAAAACTCAGTTATAATTTATAACTACCCATGAACCTCCTAGGTAGGGTGCATCTTCTACACGGGCTCTGGACGGCTTCATCCATGGGCTTCCAATACAGGAAAATAAAAGAACGGCTCGATACAGCTTCACGGAGTTGTGTATGCGTCGGTCAGGATAAAAAGAGGGCTGCCTGGCTTCTAAAGGCTTTGATGGCTTTTATCGGGGTTTCTGGCTTCAGGGTTTAAGGTTTGGTGCTTCAACTCGTTGTGTAGGGGGTTCAAGAAGAAACGCCCTGAGAAGCACAGACAGCCAGCTCTAGATGCTGGGTCCCTCTAACCTGGAGGCCTGAATACGGTTGATGACAAAAATCCTGCATTACCCATAATAAGGAATATACCATAATTCCCATAGGTAATGCAGGATTTATATCATCAACCCTAGTTTGCTCTACGATTCCTTGCTACAATGTACCCGCAAGCCCTTCTCCAGCTGTTCAAGCCCTATCTTCGAAGACCCACCTAGAGATCATATGTTGCCCTAAATCCTGAACTCTGAGCCACTCTGAGCCCCCTAAACTTAAAGCCTAAACCCCTAACCCCTAAACCCTTAAACAATAAACCCCTAACCCCTAAACCCCTAAACCCTTAAACCCCTAAACCCCTAACCCCCTAAACTCCTAAACCCCTAAACCCTAAACCCCTAACCCCCTAAACCCCTAAACCCCTACACCCCTAAACCCTTAAACCCTAAACCCCCAACCCCTGAACCCCTAACCCCTAAACCCCTAACCCCTAAACCCCTAGCCCCTAAACCCCTCATTGCTTTGGAAGCTAGAAGCTGGACCACCGAGGAGATGCTCGCTGCAGTCGTACCTCGGTTGTTGTTGAGTGTGGGGCCTTCTAGGGTTCAGGGTTTAGGGTTGGGGGTTGAGGGTTTAGGGGTTTAGGGTTTAGGGTCTAGGGCTTTAGGGTTTAGGGGTCTAGGGTTTAGGGTTTTAGGGCTTAGGGTTCAGGGTTTCGGGTGTTTAGGGTTTGGAGGGGTGCAGTGCAAAAGGGTTTGGGGTTGTTAAAGGTTTAGGGCCGAGCCCTAAGGGTCCATGTACCTAAACAGCATATACTTTGGCCTTAAGGTAGTCCCTATATAGGTACTCGTGTGGGGTTTCAGGGGTTGGGGCCGGGTTGGGCTTAAGGGGTACCCCTCAGGCTCAAGGCGGCCCAGAAGCCTAGTAGGCCCAAAACTGGGCTTTGGAGTATCATACTTTAATATTTTTTTGAGACCTGGTACTTAAAAAACCATTCTGGAATAAAAGTCTATACAGTTTTACATTTTTCCCCTGGTTACTTCAAAGCCCTTACAAGCTTCAACTGTGAGTCCTTACTTCTGTATCGGGGGAATATACGGGCCTTAATCATTAGGAAAGGGTTTCGAGGCCCGTCATACTATAACTGTAATAACTGCAACTATAAGGAAACCTCAATTATTAACACGGTATTAGGGTTTAGGGTTGAGGTTTTAACCCTAGACGCTAAACCCTAGACCCTAAACCGCAAACCCCTAAATCCTAAACCCGAAACCCCTACACCCTAAAACCCGAAACCCTAAACCCCTAAACCCTAAACCCCTACACCCTAAAACCCGAAACCCTAAACCCCTAAGTCCAAAACCCCTAAACCCCTAAACCCGAAACCCCTAAATCCTAAACCTCTAAACCCCAAACCCCTAAACCCTAAAGTACCAGTGGAGAGGACCCGGAAGTTTCAGCTTCAGGGCTCAGGGTTTAGAGGATCAGGAACTAGGGCTTATGGTAGAAACCCTGCGCTACCTTAAGGACCCTAAACTATGGGAATTATGGTATATTCCTTATTATGGGTCATGCAGGATTTATATCATCAACCGTAGGGCTTATGGTAGAAACCCTGCGTTACTTGTCCCAAAGGGTCCAAAGTACCTATATAGTCGAATGTAGGGTTTCTACATTAGGAATTACTATTATGATTTAGGGAAGTATCCCTCGTAACAGGACCTAGGACCCTTTGGGTTTATGACCCTAGCCTATGGGAACTATATGGTATATTCCGTATTATGGGTATACTGCAGGTTTATATCATCAACCGTATCACTCAGGTTGCCCCAAACATTATCAGCTTCAGTGGCGCCATCAGTGCCTGCGAGAAGTCTGGTCGCTGGGAAGTTGTTCTTAACCTCCTCTCTGTCATGCATGCTACAAGAATTCGAGCAGACAGCATCAGCTTCAGCGCAGCCATCAGCTCTTGTGAGAAGGCGGGGCAGTGGAAGACGGCTTTGCCCCCCGGTTCTGTTTGTTGCTGTTTGACTAAAAGATGTCGGGCAAAGAGCCAGCAGATAGGGAGTCGGGTTGAGGGTACTTCACTTTTGCAAGGGAACCGTTTAGGGTTTAGGGTTTAGGGTTTAAGGTTTAGGGTTTAGGGTTTAGGGTATGCTGTGCTTCCGGCAACCCAGCATGAAGCTTAATTGTTCCGGGTTGCAGAAAGCCCTTGAGATGAGTTTCGGCATGTTTGGCGTTGTGGATCCCTGCTGTAGGTTCATGGGTACTTATATCTAGTTCGATTCAGAGTTACAAGTAGCGTCATTGTTGCGATAGCCCAATCCCAATCTTCAAGAACCCTGTAGTACCCTTAGGCAACAGGCGCCCTAAACCCTAGCTAGAAACTTACAAAACCCTAAACCCCCTAGAATTACAACACCCTAACCCAAAGGGTCCAAGTATCATCATGGTATATACTTGGACCCTTTGGGTAAACCCCCCCGAGTTCCCTAAAACCCTAAACCCGAAACCTGCCTTTGCCGAGAGCCTTGGAGTTTTTGCAGGCCTGGTTGGCCAGGTGTTCCAGCCCTATGGGCATTCCCCGGTAACCTTGTGTTGCAGGAGAAAAGGAGCGACAAAAAAATTAAAAAAAAAACCCTAAACCCCAAACCTCAAACATTTATGGCCCCGCCAAGGAACCTCTTCGAACTTCTTGAAGCCGCCAACCTGGAGCCCACCAACATCACCGCCAGCGCCATGCTCCGCGCCACTGCTCTTGGGCCCTGGCAGGTCTCCCTTCGCCTCTTTGTCATAGTTGGGTAAGATTTTTCATTTTTATGGGTACTTAAACCCAATAAGGAATAGAAAGTAAAAGTACAAATTTTTGGAAAAAAAATATAAATCTTTAGACCTATCCCAAGCATGAACTAGGTCTCCTCTCGCTCTTCTCTTCCCGATGCTCGGTGGCACATTGTCTGTATTTGCCTGAAGTCTGCTGCCGTCGCGCCACCTGCGACCGAGGAAAAACCTATGCGACAAGAAATAGATCTTGCAGAAAGCCAACAGAAAAAAATTCATTAAATACACCTAAACCCCTAAACCCTAAACCCCTTAACCCTTAACCCTTAACTCAAATGAATCCTTATAAATCCCTTTAAAAAGGAAGGAAAAATCCAGAAACATAGGAAAGATTAGACTGAACAAAATTAAAGCAAAACTAACAGAAATGAACCCTAAACCCTAAACCCTTACTTCCTGTGTAGATCCCTTATAGAACCCTTATGGATCCCTTTAAAAGGGAACCCGACCAGGCCCTGGTCAGTTGCTCGGCGCGGGAGACTTCGCCGAGGCCGCGAAGAGCTGCGAGCACTTTGGGCGCTTCCTCGCGGTCGCTGACTTAGTTCCCTTCCCAAAGGGTCCTAACTCTTGCAGGTTCATGGGTAGTTTTTTTTTCGTGGGGGTTATACTTACTTATAACCACTAATATGGCTTATAACTTTGGGCGCTTCCTCACGGTCGCTGACTTAGTTCCCTTGGGACCCTTTAAGGGATCTGTGAGAGTCCTAGGGTTCAGGGTTTTAGGGTTTAGGGTTTATAGGGTTTATGTTCATAGGAGGCCAAAAGGGGTTTTAGCATATGGGGGTTTAGTATGGATTAGGGTTCCCATAAGAGGATTCCTGACTTAGTTCTCCTTCCCCAAGGGTCCTATGTACCGATATATTAGCATGTAGTGTTTCCATACGAGCCATTACTATTATGGAAGTGCTACTCCCCAACTTGGCGTTCTTCTGGTTGGCTATTCTAGGATGCCCAGTAGTACCCTTATTCCCTTTTTGTAGTCCTAGGTTCCTTATAAAGTTACCCAATACCAAAAAGAGAGGCCTTGTTATTCTTAGGTTACTGGGTATCCTAGTGAACCATAATAAGGAGGCTAAAGGTTTAGCTTTTAGGACGGGTTCAGATGTCAGCCAAGTAGTTCCCTTGAGGTTCCTTACCCTACCACTCCATATACTTTTTTTGTATGTAACATACGTATATTATGTGTGTATATATATCTATATCAACGCATTTATTTATCGCATATGTACGTAGCTCTTAGTTGTTAAAGGGGCTCCTGTATAGTATACACTCACGCCTTACACGGGGTTCTATATAATAAGGTACATTACGGCCGCAGTATATACTACATGGGTACATGGAGCCTAGCTTTACGGGTTCCTAGAAGTGTCCCTGTTTCCTTTTTCAGGATCGTTGGAGGTACCTGCATGGGTTGAACGAGCTCCACAACAGCGTTTACCGGGATAAGGGGGTTATTCGAAATTTAACTTACCAACCCTAAATCTTAATATAGGTCATGGGGCTATACTAGAAGCCTACAGGTTGAAAAGCCGATAGCCTCAATCCTTAAGAGTCGAGAACAGGGAATCCCAGCAACTTCTGGTGGGTTTGCTGTACATGGTACTGTGTTATCCACAACAGAGCATGAAGGTCACCGAGTTGCTGCCGGAAATGCAGCGACGGGCCGTCCACGGACTGCAGCAAAGGGTTTAGGCGACAAAAAGCTTTAGGATACAGATAGGATTTGGTGCACTTGGGGTTTGCGGTGATACATCATTCTGTCTACAAGGATCATTCGAACGTCTTTTCGCAGTTTGTTGAAGTTGGGTTTCGGGGCTGTCGGAAGACTGGATGCCTGAAGCAGTGCTGAATGCACTCGTCAGTCTCCTCTTCGGAAGAATTCGTTGCTGCACATACCTGGTCCATGTACCGATGTAATTAGTATAAACCTTGGCCTTGAAGTACCTATAAAGGGACGACTTTAAGGACAAAGCATACACCGTATGAGTACATGGACCGTTGGGACAGAGTGTTGTCACAGGCTGCATGGCTCGACCGACAGGTCCGCATTGCTTTGAGAAACGAGGAGACTACAGTTGACTAAAGGGCCGTTAAAGGGAACTCCAGAAAGTTGGAATATGGTTTCAGGGTAGGATACCCTATAATTTACCATAAAGGGTTTAGGATAATGATATTCCAACTTTCTGGCTTTTACTGTAACATCATAGGAGCCAAAAGGGGTTTTAGCTTATGGGGGTTCAGTAGCTTACGGCAGCCTTGTGTAATGCAGAATGGCAGCTGCTTCCTCAGGCGGTTAGAAGCAACATCTATCTAAACCTTGAGATTAACGATGCTGATCATCGAATGTTCGTCCGATTCTTCTATAAGAGCGCCGTAGGGATGCAATAGCAGCAGCTTTAAACCCAGCAGGGAAGCCGCCAAGGCAAGGTTCAGGGCAGTCTGTCGTAGAAGGGTTTAGGGTTTAGGGAAGCTTTTTGAGGATTGTGTTTCCAACGTTTGCGGAATAGACCGGTATGGGGGAGTATCTGCCAGTATCTGCAATTGGCTGATCGCGGATGCCCTCAGCCAAAGAATACAAGCGTCAAAGTAGGATAGGTTTACGTCCCATACGTTGGCCCCAATACACACTTCAAGGTAGCATAGGTTTTCATCCCCCATATGTTGGCCCCGGTGAAAGTTACTACTCTGAGCCCCAAAGCACAGAACCAAGGATCGAAATCCATGTGAGCTTTATTTCCCATATGAGAGTTTCTGAAAATTAGGGGTACCTTCTTTTGGGGCGTCGTTATAATCGGGATCCTAAAATTTAGGAACTTGGGGTACTAGATTAGGGTCCCCTATTCTCGGAAACTCCCATATGTTGAACCCTGAAGCCTCAAAGCCCCTAGCCCTGATTCATGGGTGGTTGTCAAAACTATGGTTCCTTTTTTGGTCCTTAGTATAGTACGTCACCTAATATTTAAGGCACCCAAAAAGGAACCATAATTTTGACAACTACCCTCATGCACCCCGACTCTGAACCCTGACCCTGATACGCGAAGGCTTGAAACCTATACCTTAGAAGGGGCCCCCACCCTGTAATAGTGGTATAATAGGAATATGATAGGGCCCTATTATACTCCTTGTAGTCACTATTACAGGGTGGGGGCCCCTTCTAACCTATACCCTACCACACACACACACAAAGAAGTGTCCATGTACCCAAATGCTATATACTTGGGCCCCGAAGTACCCATATAGGGAATACTTTAAGGCGAATGTATGTATACTATTTTGGGTACATGGACCCTTAGGGAACTGTAAGTCAGTGTCCAAACTCTAAACTCTGCGAGTCCGAAGACCCCACGAAAGGAAGGAGATGCTACACCCGAATACGCGAAGCCCCTAAACTCGAACCCCGAACCCTGAACCCTTTAACAGCTCCCCAAGAAAAAACGCAACAACAAAAGAACCCTAAACCCTAAACCCCTATAACCCTAGACCACTAAACCCCTAAACCCTAAACCCGGAAACCAGCATTTCGCTAGGGAGGAGCGTCTTTCAGGGCTCCTTCTTTCTTTAAACTTTAACCCCCCAGACCGTCCAAAATCCCTTAATTAAGGAATATACCCTAAATCAGATTAAGGATCCTACTATGACATAAGGTATATTCCTTAATGAAGCGATTTTGGAAGGTCTGGCGGGTCTTTCTTTAAACTTTAACCCCTGCACCCCAGGGACTATAGGATCCTTAAGGGAGGGTGGTTCAAGGGGGGAGGGTATAAGGAATCCTTAGGGGACTGTAAGGGAACCTTAGGGAGTACTAGGGAGAATTAGGGATCACTAGGCTATCTACCCCCCTTGGACCCCCCTCCCTTAAGGGAGTTTGACGGTTCTGGGCATTTTTGATTGTACCCGGCCAGGAAGCCTGGCTTTCCGACTACGACGCCTTGCCTGGCTTTGCAAAGACCCTTGGTCTAGGGATACCATGAGACTTAGCCATAGTTGGAGCGCATTTTACATATTTATGGGTACTTAAACGCAGTAGGGACAATTGTACATGCTTAATACGACCCCATAGGGATACCATGAGAGCCGCTTAGTGTTCCTGTTGAAGGGTTTAGGGTTTTAGAGTTTAGGGCTTTAGGGTTTTAGGGTTTGAGGTTTTAGGCCCCCGAATTTGGGGCCCTATACTACTAAGGGTAGTTTATAGGAACCCCCATTAAGGGATCTACTTTTTGGATCCTCCCGGGGGTCTGGGAAAGGGTTGCTACAGGCTCGGATAGCCAAGTGGAGACCCTGAATCTGGTCGGCCTTATTTATATCCTTGAACCCTCAACCCTAAACCCTGCACCCTAAGCCGTATATCGTGAGGCTTTAGCGTGGCGCGTCAAGACAGTGGCTTCTTGGGGTCTATGCAGCAAGGGTTGTGTCGCTGGATGGGCAGAATCCGGGGTTGTTTCTTCTTAAGGAGGGTAGCTGCTGAGGAGTGTTTTTGTTAGAGCTGTAAAGGGTACTTGGCATGGTCTTGTGCGTTTAGTGTGGATCGACGAGGTGTTGTTTGATTCCGAAGGGTCCATGTACTGGTACAGTACATACCTTGGCCCGAACGTACTCAACAAGGGAGTCTTTATAAAACCAAAATAGCTTCTACATCAGTACGCGGACCCGTAAGATCCTTGAATGAAAGAAGCATATCTGTTTTGAATAATGCGTGCCTAAGATGATTCAATTCTTTTTCAAGGATTTGGCAAATCTTGGTTGAAGTTTGGGCTCTTGGCATTCCGTAAGGTTCAAAATAGCCCGAAAGCCTCTTATAGTCTGGTGCTTGGACCCAGAAGCTTCAAGATATGAGTAAGGCTTTGGTTCAGGACTGTATCGGGGGGCTATGAAGCCGTGTTTGGATAGGGTTTTGGAGGGTTTAGTTATTGTGCTTTCAGGCTCTCGTAGGATTTCGACCTCTGCCAGTTTCGACGGTTTCTAATGTTTCGACATGGCAAACCCTAAACCCTCAACCGATCAGGAGCCAAATGAAGCGCCCAGAGAAGTGAGGCTTGCAAAGACCATTGAACTCGAGGGTTTAGGTTAATGGTTGAGGGCGTATCTTCGTATTCGCACTGCACGCCAAGCGCTTTGGGTTTAGCAAAACCCCCAAACAAGTTTTTGGCGACCTAATATGCGTCTGTCACGCCGAAATATGGCCTTCAGCATTCGACGATATCCCGATACCCCCCCCCCCCCCCCCCCCAAAAAAAAAAATGAAGCCCCTGAAAAGAAAAACGGATTGATGGTTGAAGCCTCAAAGCCCAGCGCCCTTCTCAACCCATCTCGCCGCGATTGTGTTGAGCCCCGAGCCCCTCAAAACCCATCACGCCGATGTACATACCACCACTCAAAAGACCATTATCATTATCGTTTTGGAGAGCTAGTTCCGTAGTGGTGGTATATGTGGACCTCTTGAGATTGTGCTCAACTCATAGGGAGTCCTTCTTGAGACTGTCACGGTGACAGTCATGGCTTAGGCTGCAGATTCGAATGGTTTGCGCTTTGGGAGGAGGTTTGTGTACACCAAAATGGGGTGTTGTAGGGCTTTCTAGTTGTTCAAGTTTTGTTTGTAGTTCAGGGTTTGCCGTCAAACGTGTATGTTTAGAATATACTCATTCTGTGTAAATCCTTTCAACAAGCGTGTGGTATCACACCAAGACTGTAGCACGAAGCGCAATGTAGACCCCTGACATAATAGGGGTCGGCATAAGGCGTAATACGTGGCGGTACTGTGTCCTGAGGATTCGCGACTATACCTACAATAGTAGAGTATAGCCGAAAACCATCTTCCATTTTGTCAGTCCCGCTCTCCTCAGAGGCTGGAGGTTTGGTGTTTTTGTCTTTACCTGGACTTCAAAAGTATGTAGATTAATAGCCTTGTATAGGTATTGGGCCATTATTTTACCTACTTTTGGGGGTCTAGGTACGACTTTGTCATAGTTGGGTAACATTTTACAATCTATATGAGTACCTAGACTCAATAAGGAATAAACATGTGAATTTTTAATCCTATCCCGACCATGAACTAGACGAGCTTTTTGGGCTTTCATGGTCCTAGATATTCGAGTCTGAGCTTCTACGAGCTCCGAACTTTGCCACCTGAACCGGGTTTAGGGTTTAGGGTTTAGGGGTTTAGGGTTAAGGGTTTAGGATTTAGGGTTTCAAAACCGAAGTACGATAATAATCAATCTGAAGCCCCACATCCATATGAAACGGACCGGATGAAGGAACACATAAGCCCAGGCCGCTTGAAGCGGTTACCAGGTACTTCCCCAAATCAATTAAATAGTAATTCCTACTTTGGACGCTTTGGGATTAGCAAAGCCTTGAGCTTAAGCCCGAGCTTGCTCGCACGACATCGTTTCAGAGAGTGCAACCGCACCCTGCTTGGAAGACGCGGTTTTTGCCTTAGTGGCCTGTTTGTGCGTTTGGGAACCTAAAGCAGGCCATCCAGTCAAAGGTGCTACATTTGAGGGTCTAGGTACTATGCTACTTGGGGGTCGTAAAAAAATGACGCACCCTAGACCCAGTATGAAGCCTGAAACCGCATGTTTAAAAACAGCATGCTTGCAACCTTAAAGTCTGAAGCCCTCCGCAACTCTACCCGAAGCCCCAAAATCCCCGAAGCCCCGCAAAAAGAAGCCGGAAGTCCCGCTTTTCAGGGCGTT